CCGAGCTAAATACGACAACAGCGCCACTCTTTATCATTTGTCTTAACTGTGGTCACCTCGAGCTTTTAGAAAACATGTTTTTGCGTAAAAACCAGCGGAAAAAGCTTTTTTTGTTGTAACTTTTATTCGAGTTTAGTACAAAATGAAGGGCGCGTGATGTTTTCTAAAATCTTTAGTTTGTAAGGTTTTGCGGCACAATTAATATTGTTTTTATACAACCATGAGTAGGCGGTGTTTTCAGGTAGCACGTCACGACATAGGCGCATCTTAACTTCAGTGGTAATTCGCGGCGCGTCCGCTTGGGAGATTGGGGGTGGCACCCCTGAAACCCCTTCCACCGTATCTGCTTCGGCGCCAGAATGGCCCCTTAAAGACGTGTAGTTCCTCGAGTAGCCGCTGCGGGAGAAATGGCGGCGTTGTGATTGCCATTTGTTCGGTTTTCGAGTACGGATCGGTGCCACTTTTTCAGAGCAGTCTCTATGGAAGTTTCCCAACTGACTGGTTCTAGTAACGTAGAATCAACGTAAAAAAAAAAAAAAAAAATCTTCCTCCAACCCCTCCACGTTTTGCGTTCACTTTACGTGCAAAGGGATGTGGACTGTCTACGCGCTACGGTAATGGAGTGAAACCGAACTTTAGTCCACTTTTCTTTTGCAATGTGTTCAAAGATTTCTCATATAATAAATTTTTGGTGTTTGATTTTGCCCTTTCTATTGCATATTAAATTTATAGGGCACATAAAAAAAAAACCTGTATTTTAAATTTTTTTTTTTTTATTTTTGCAGTAGGCCATGGGTTAAGGGTAGAACAGTGGTTCATGTTCCGAGCGCATTGGGGGGGGGGAGCAGCATATACGTGCATTAGCTGCTGATTGAGTTTATGGATTTGGGCTAAAGGAATTAAACAATTTATTTATACGAACCAATATGTATTTCTTTGTTTAGCAAGCGTTTTAGCATGAACGTTTGGAGTATCTTGAGGGATGAAATGTGAACCCTTATAAATTACAGAAAACATGCAGGCCATCTGGTACTTTCAGCATTTTGAACACCCGAGATTGAGGATCAAAGGATGGACGACACACACACATACACGCGTGTGCTAAGACCTCTCTGTCTATTGTCCACTTTTCTGTTTCTAAGTCTCGGGTGTTCAAGATGTTGATGCATCCTTATCTTATGTACATGCGCAAGCTTTTGAAGAAAACGCATTGATAGGGCACAGATTTTTTATCCATTTCATTACTGGTTCATATCATGAACTGATATCATTTGATCCTTCAATTCTTTTTTTCCAAACCAACAATAAAAATGATTAGATGTCGATAAATAATCCGTTCACTCGCGGGCTCACTGTACGTAAAACAAGAAACGTGCTACGATAAGGACACGAAAAAGTGCGGAAAAAGAAAATGGAAGACGTTTACAATCCCCTGTAACGCCGAATTAGAGCGCAGCTCCTGAGGAGGAGGAGGGTTATGTACCGAGAGGAGGGTATGCCCCTCCTCCTCATCCGTAACCTCCCCCTTCTCTCGCTCCCCTCCCATTTAGCGCTAATTTTCCCGCTAAATTTGGCGGGGTATTATTTCACTAAATTTAGCGGGGAATTTTTTACGCTAAATTTCCGCTAAAGCGCAGCGACGTTATGGTGACGCGTTCTCTGCCGCAAGTGACAATTAATTGTCACGTGCGGCAGAGGACGCGTCGCCATAACATCGCACTGTTGTTATAATGATATAATCTCATACATCAAAGGATGATGACATGTTTCGCACAGTCGTTTGGTTTCATGGTTCCTTTTAAAAAATGAAAGACATTTACAATCTCCTGTAACGCCGAATTAGAGCGCAGCTCTTGAGGAGGAGGAGGGGAAGGTACGGGATGGTACGGTATTGGGAAAGTTTCGCTAAATTTCTTGTTAAATATAGCAGAAACATTTTTCGCTAAATTTAGCGGAAAAATTCCCCACTAAATCTAACGGGGAAAGTTTTCCGCTAAATTTAGCGGGAATTTTCTTCGCTAAATAAAGCGGTGAATCTTTTTCCGATAAATTTAGCGGGAAATTCTTTCGCTAAATTTCCACTGAATTTAGCGCGAAACTTTTTTGCTAAACTTTGCGGGGTATTTTTTGCGCTAAGTATATATGAGGAAATTTTTCCTGTTAAATTAAGTGGGGAAATTTTTCCGCTAAATTTAGCAGAGATTTTTTTCCGCCAAACTTAGCGGGGATTTTTTCTGTTAAATCTAGCGGGAAAATTTTTCCGCTAAATTTAGCGGGGAATTTTTTATGCTAAATTTAGCGAGAAATTGTCTGTTAAATTTAGCAGAAAATGTTATCACTAAATTTAGCGGGAAATTTCTCCCGTTAAAGTTAGCGGAGAAAACTTTCCGCTAAATTTAGTGGGGGAACTTTTCAGCTAAATTTAGTGGGGAATTTTTTCTGCTAAAGTTAGCGGGGAATCTTTTTTTTTGGGGGGGCTGAATTTAATATTTTTCTGCTAAATTTAGCTAGGAAAGTTTCCTGCTAAATATTGCAGAAAATTTTTCCCCTAAGTATAGCGGGAAAATTATCCCGCTAAATATAGTGGGGAAGTTTTTCAGCTAAATATAGCGGGAACGTTTTTCGCTAAATTTAGCGGGGAGATTTACCCATAACGCAACGCGCGGTGACATCACTAGTGACCCTCGGGACGTCATATGTGATGTCATGTGTGACGTCATTATGGGAAACGTTCCATAATGCAACGCGCGGTAATTAGTGATGCAAAACTATCGATAAATTGACTATCGATACTATCGATAGTTTTTCCAAAACTATCGATAGTGTCCTAGAACTATCGATAGTACTATCGATAGTTTTTCGATAGTCGACTATCGATAGTTTTTCGATAGTCGACTATCGATAGTTTTTCGATAGTCGATTATCGATAGTACTATCGATAGTTTTTCGATAGTTTTTCGATAGTCGACTGTCGCTAGTTTTTCGATAGTCGACTATCGATGGTTTTTTACTATACTGGCGACTAACGATACTATCGCTAGTGCTATCGATAGTCTTGCACCACTATAGTCCGTTACAACTCAAGAAGGTAGGGCGAGGGTAAGACGGGACGGGGAGGAGGAAGCAGACGGAACGCTAAAGAGAGAAGGGGGTTTCCCCCTCTCTTCTCCAGCGGTTCGTCTGCTTCCTCCTCCCCGGCTCGTCTTGCCCTCGCCCTACCGCTCGCCTCCCCCTTCTTCTTTTTTCGCCCAAACCCCCATCTTCGTCATCACTGAAAGCTGAACCAAAGTTGGGATGGTAAGTGCCTGGGCTAGTTGGTGCCCCGTTTGAAAAAAAAATTAAAGCGATAAATAGACAAGAGGGAGCGACGCAAACTACTAGTGTTGCAAAACTATCCATAGTAAACTGTCGACAGTACTATTGATAGGTTTACGATAGTCGACTATCGATAGTTTTCCGATAGTCGATTAACGATAGTTTTCTGATAGTCGACTATCCATAGTTTTTCGATAGTTTTTCGATAGTCGACTATCGATAGTTTTTCTATAGTTTTTCGACAGTCGACTATCGATAGTACTATCGATAGTTTCTCGATAGTCGACTATCGATAGTACTATCGATAGTTTTTCGATAGTCGACTATCGATAGTACTATCGATAGTTTTTCGATAGTCGACTATCGATAGTACTATCGATAGTTTTTTTCACTATCGATAGTCAGACTTCTGGCGACTATCGATACTATCGATAGTGCTATCGATAGTTTTGCACCACTAGCGGTAATACCAACGACGACGACGCTCAAGCCGGAAACGGGCGCCAAAGAGCTGCGCTCGAAAACCGACTTAATTTAGCAGGCCACAAGGAAGTGAATTTCAGACAAAACAGGATGCGGGTTGCTGTGTGCTAGTTACCCCTTTATTAAAATACATTGCGGGTTTCACTAGTGATCGAGTCACAATTGCATTGGTTGTCACTTAGACAGACAGACAGACAGACAGACAGACAGACATACAGACAGACAGACAGACAGACAGACAGACAGAGAGACAGACAGACAGACAGACAGACAGACAGACAGACAGACAGACAGACAGACAGACAGACAGACAGACAGACAGATAGATAGATAGATAGATAGATAGATAGATAGATAGATAGATAGATAGATAGATAGATAGATAGATAGATAGATAGATAGATAGATAGATAGATAGATAGATAGATAGATAGATAGATAGATAGATAGATAGATAGATAGATAGATAGATAGATAGATAGATAGATAGATAGATAGATAGATAGATAGATAGATAGATAGATAGATAGATAGATAGATAGATAGATAGATAGATAGATAGATAGATAGATAGATAGATAGATAGATAGATAGATAGATAGATAGATAGATAGATAGATAGATAGATAGATAGATAGATAGATAGATAGATAGATAGATAGATAGATAGATAGATAGATAGATAGATAGATAGATAGATAGATAGATAGATAGATAGATAGATAGATAGATAGATAGATAGATAGATTTTATTTGTTTATTTATTTATTTATTTATTCATTTCGGCTCAGGAGAGCCTGGCGTCGCGGAACGGCACGTGGCCCATACCGTAAAGGCCCGTGGCACCGCGTCCAATGATGATGAACTGGTATTTTACAGATTAATTAAAAAATGGTGATGATGGTTTAAATGGAGCTTGTGGATGAGGTTGAGGGGTTGATGTTGCGGTTGAAGAGGGTGAAAATCCTTAGGCCTAGCAGTGGTCTTCGCGATGGTGGTCTTCAAGGCGCCGCCATGGGCAGCTGACTTCTGATGTCACGTTGATGTCGCGTGATGTCACACGACGTTACGATCCTTCGTGAAGGTTCTTCGTGAAGGTTATTTGTGACGACCTTGCCATAAAATTCGGCTGGTCAAAACACTTTTTGTGTTAAAACTGTGGAGCGATCCTCGTTCTATGTCTGTCTTGGTCCTTCTTCCAGAGATCGCGAAGTCCGTGCGTCGCCTGCTCGGTCGGCGTGTGTACGTGCTCCAAGTGCTGGCCTCCATCTTCATGGTCAGCGGCTTTAATGGCTTCTCCACCTTCTCTGCCAAGTACATGGAAACACAGTTCCGTACATCAGCCTCCAAGGCAAGCACTTTCGCAGGTTGGTCCGTTAAACGCGGGTGCGTGCCGCGCTGCGTGACTATCTTAATACACCGGACTCCGTCAATGGTGCACGGCGCTACAATTTGCAATTTACAATTTCTAAATAAGAGAATATAAAAAAAAATTTAAGAATGTGCGTCTCTCAACCTACACCGCCAAATGGCATAACAAGTTTAAATGAATCAAAAATAAATAAATATAATCCATTGACCAAAAAGGAAATTTGTTGCTAAAGCCAAAGTGGACGGCGCTACAAGCGGAAACGGTCTGGCTGAATATAACTCGCCAACACACTCTAAACAAAGTCTGAGAGTTTACTTTTCTTCAGAACACGGAGAGGGCCAATCGTGTGGTGAACAATGAAAGGATCCCAGCGAATGACGAAGCTCATAACACGATTATGTCAGAAAAATGCTATGTGCTTAGGGACTACGGGCATGACGTTTCACTCCTTTTTCGTCGTCCGTGCACATATCGCTTTGTTTTTTTAGGGGCGAAGCTCCTTAGGGTCTAGCCTTGGCCGTCCGTCCGTCCGTCCGTGCTTTCATAAAACGAAAAAAAAATGTTTGCGCAGTCTACAGGATTCGAACTCGTGCGGGGAGACCCCAACAGATTTCTAGTCCATCGCCTTAACCCCTCGGCCACGACCACGGGTCGAGTAGGGGGCTCTGAGATGAGGTAGTAACTCAAGAGCTGGGGTTTCTGTCATGGATGTAACGTTGCATGTAGCCGCTCAACGTCTATACAGGAGAGGGCGCTGCGGTCAAATGCGTATATAATCGCGCTAAACTCTGCATGCTTTGGCTCAACGTTTAAAGACGAGAGGGCGCTGCGGTCAAATGCTCAAATGCGTATATAACCACTTTCCATACCACACATTTTCTTCCTGACATGGACCGTTTGCTTAAGCGGTGGAGATGCGTTCCCACGGCTTCTAGCGGATCCAAGCTTATCCGCTAGAAGAACCACTGGCTTTGCATTTCGCCGACCATAAAGCAGTAATAATGAAGTTGGAACGCAACCCTGAACTCAGCACTACCTATGAGCGATAAAACAAATCAGCACGTTCAGCACTACCTATCAACAATAAAATCAGTATCATCAGCACCACCAGAGCTTCTCCCCAATCAACATCATTCACCACGTGGAGATGCGGTAATTTTTACTAAGTTGTATTTTTAATTTTTCCATTTGCTGGGATTTTTCTTTTGTTCGCCGTGGTTGGCTGTCCCCGTGTTCTACAGGAAAACAAATGCTCATACGTTTTTTCGCATGTACACTCTAAGAAATGTGTGCGTGCGTGTCTATACTTACCCGCAAAACACTCAAAGACCCAATCTCTGCTATCTACGATGATGAGGCGGAACATCTGTTTAGACCTCAAAATTCAGTCTGCGCTGTGGCATTACGCAATGCAAGCTTGACGCTTTGCATTGCACAATGCCACAGCGCGGTCTAAATGGATGTACCGCCTCGTCATTCGCTCAGCTGATTTCGTAGATCGCAGAGATTCGCACTTTGAGTGTTTTGCGGGTAAGTAGATGCGCAGGCATTAAATTCTGTAGTGACTTGAAAAGTGTTTGGTTACTGAGAGTGTAAATAACCAGATTCGCTGGAATCCCCCTTTTTCGTTCCCCGTGATTGACTATCTCCGTATTCTGCGTAAAAGTTAACTTTTTTCTTAGAGTGTGTATACGCTCTCGGAAGATGTGGTTCAACCAGCGCGATTCAAGTATAATGGCCGCGCACTGAAACTCTACGAGATTGGAGTACCATACCAATCGACCTGCGCATTGGTTGAATGAATTGAGAAAGGATGAATGATTGCTTTTCCGATTGCGGCGCGCGGTATGCTCGGGGACTTATGAGAGCGTATAATAACCCGGTATTTCGAGATCACCCATAATTATACTATACCTGACAAAGGAGGCCGTGAAAAAACTTTGAGGCAGAACATAATCTCTTTTTATTTCTCCACTTTTTTTTTTTTTACGCGTGTTGGGGAATAGCTGATGAGCACTAGCTCAGATCTGACACTCAGCAGGTGTTGTAACGAAAAAAGACTTTGGGAACAGTTGTTTTTTGCGGTCCAACGCATGCGTTTACCCTCGCAGTTTTTTTTTTTCTTCTACTTTTGTTTTAGTGTGTGCGTGTGTGTGTGTGTGTTTAATAATCGATATGCTGGTTTTTCTAAGATTAAAAAAGAACGCAGACTTTAAAAAGGAAGTCTGTTGGTTCACTGTGCCGCAGAACACGGAGACAGCTGATCGCGGCGAACAATAAAATGGTCTCAGCGAATAAAGAAGCTTAGAGTACAATTATAGATCTGAAAAATGCGTAGGGACAGTGAGCAGGCCAAACGACGTGCTCAGTGTCCCTGCGTACATTCTATTCTTTTTCTGTCTAATCTTATTACACACTTCGTCAGTTACTGGGACCTTCGAACGCGGATGAGCGAATCACGATGCAATGAGAGACACGCCCCGCGTTTCTTTGGCTGTCGGCGACTACAGCTTGATTGTACGCGCGGCGCGTCCTGTTCTGTTCAGGTCTCGTGTCGACGTCGTTCTTCATCGTGAGCTTCTTCGTGTCGGGGTGGGTCATCCATCGAACCAGGCCCACGCCTCGGGTCATCGGGTCCTACAACGTCACCGTCAAGGTTCTGCTCATCGCCGGCTTCCTCGTGGCCATGTTCATCAAATGCGACTTCGGTCTCATGCCGGGTGTCACGGTCTCTAAGGACGGGTGAGCGACTAGAAAAGAGAGTCACACGCTATACGGGTAGAAACGGAGGGAGAGGAGGAGCCGAGAGCGCTGAGCTCTGACCGGAAGGATTAGTGGGTAAAAATAACCTTTTACACTTACACGGAATGCATTTAGAAAACGGATTATCGATGTCCCTTTAATCAGTAATCAGTATATTGTGTGATCAGATACCGACCATCGAGTGAGCAAGTTAAACGTCATGCACAATGTGGCCCATCGCAAACTTCACTTTAAAGTCCGAACGGATTTCAAAACTCGTCGTTCGCCGAGCTCCCTCAGTTCACAGATCGCAGTGATGGACCCTTTGAGTGCATTGCGGGTGATTAGAACATTTATTTACGTGAGTGTATACCCTACGGACCGTGACACCGATCGCCCTTATTGGACCGCCACGCATTTTGAACCAGGTTCCAGTGTTTCAGAACTTACCGTAATATCATTTAAAAGTTATAAGTGATTTTCAAAAGTTTCGATCAGAAAATGAGGTCCTTTCTCGCGGTAGGAGACGTCATTCATCTCCGTATATTAGCGGACTTCGTCGGCCGCTATTCTCTTATGCATGAGAGAATGGCGAAACCTGCTTCAAACTTTTGAAATAAACTTTAGACATCTGGTGTCCCATTTCCACTAGCGCTACATTCGGACGGGCTCTGAGCGATAGCCGATTCGTAGCTCATTTTTGCGGTGAAACAAATACGGCTCTCTCTCCTCTCAAACACTCGGTACACACAGAAGACTCGATGAGAGTCTGATCTGAGCATGATCAACTTTGACTGCGAATCGCTGACACGTTTTATTTCCCTTAGGCTGGACCTAGTGAACTCTTGCAACCGCGGCTGCGACTGCACGTCCAGGGCGTACCAACCCGTCTGCGAGCAGATCGGAGGGACGCTCTACTTTTCGCCGTGCTTCGCCGGCTGCCCCAGGCCGACTCAAGAAGACACGTCGAATCTGACCAAGGCGAGGCATTTCTACAGGGCGTGCATTCTCTATCTTACACGTGTCTCGCCGCGAAAATATAAGAAAAGCACAATATGCGTATAACTGCACGAAACAGTTTTGCGCAAGCACGGCATCGATTTTTTTTTTAATTTTATTAAGTTATTACATTGACGAGCGCCAAACGTTTAGCATTTAAGTTGGCACCTCGAATAAGCAGTTCTCACCTGTTTAAACAAAAGTATTCCAAATGTGAGAAAAAAGAAACAGCAGAAAGTCTCGTTTGCTTGATCATGCTGACGAAGACCAGAGCACAAAATGCGTCCCGCGAGCCAGCACAGACAACACTCCGCGTGGAGTTTGTATTAGTCTTTTCATTATGCACAACAGATGTTAGTCAGAACGAGACAAAGCGAATGAGAGCGACGTCAATGAGGCGACCTGTCATATGGTGTGACGTCACACCACTCTCACCGGCGCAGCTGTGCTACGCACCTCAGTGGCATGGTATTCGATTGCCACCGCACCGACCCACGTTCGAGCACCGCCGGGACTCAAACATTATATATAAACTTTTACGTATGTATAACCTTAGCGTCATGTAACGTTCCCAGCGTGTCACTCGTTCATGACGTTCGTCAATGTCGATCGTTCGTGACGCTCGTTCATGACGATTTTCTAATATAGAACGACTGATAAAACACGTGCGTTCAAACCGGCGATCGCTCGTTCCTGCCGCGATCTGTAAGCCTAAAGCCGGGATCACACTGCTTATATACTTCGTCTCACCTTAGCGTGGACCAACTGCGAAGGCTTGCGCAAGCGCCAGCGGCTAGCCTTGACTAGGGTGCCTACATGTTTCCGCCGCTCCGCTGTTTAGGGTGGCGACAACGTTTGTGATACCTGTTGCCGACAAACCAGTGTTGCCTACCTCGTTACCATGGCAGCCTCCGCTGTTTCGTCGACCATTTTGTCACACTCGCCAGTCGTGCGCTCGCGCTACTCCGCTAATCCTCGTTAGGGCTAGGGAGCGCCTACCGCTCTCGTTCCGACGGCGAGGTTTCGGCGTGCGATGCCGGTCTGTTGCGTTTCATTTTGTCGAGGGGACTCACGCTTCGATAAACGCAAGGCATACTTCCTTCTCGCAACTTCAAAGTATGGAACACCCGAACAAAGAGAGCGACAGCCACGACGACCGCCATCCCGCTGAGCCTCCGACTCGTCCGACTCCTCATATGAACGGAAACGGAAGTGGACTCACAGTGTTGCCGGTGTGTCGAAACTACGAAAACTCAACGTTGTGTACGTTTAGCCAAATAAGAAGTGGGTCAAAATGGCGGTGGGAGAGGATCTGGGAAAGGGTAACAAGAAGTTGGCGCCACCCTAAAGCGGAGCGGAAACATGTAGGCACCCTAGCCTTGACCGTTTTGACTGGAGCCATGGCCCATAGCCTCCTCTATACTCAAAAAGTCTGGTAGTTCGACAACGGATCCTATAGAGTGCCCGGTCGCAGATTTGGAGCGCGAGGATCTGGTAGCGTATAGCATCAAAGAGCCATTTCTCAGGGAACCTGGACGTCAGCGCACAGCTTTTGCAGCGGCGAGTAACCAAAACACACTTTCGGGTCCTCGCGTCTCGCCGCAGCGTCTCGCGGCAGCGCCGAGACGCTGCGTTTCGGCGTCTCGCCGCAGCGGGGCGCCAATCATGTGGCTCTCCTCTCATTCGTTGTCTACCTTTTCCATTTCGACGGCCGCTTCTCGTGGCGATCCGCCAGGCTTTGTCTGTATTAGCGGCGAGATGTTTTGGTGGCGCCCCCCTATGGTTCCCTCTCGTGACGTCATTACCTTGCGAACAACATGTTCGATGGTGTTTGTAATGAGCATGGTTGAAGCTTGAAATTATTGTGCTCTGAAACCAACACTGCAAACACCGTCCAAATTGAAGTTCTTACATTCATCTTATTTCCGTCAATGAGAAATCCTTTCCTGACGTCATAATCAGCATTCGGCCAATCGTGGAAGGCCGACCACATGCTGGAGCACTCGGTGCACAAGCGCTCGTGCAGTCGCCGAGGCTTCATCCAAATCAATAAACTCGCGCTTTTAGCATGCGCGGCTAACCAGTCCATGCAAAGGTGAGACGAACTACAGGCCAACGCGCTGTTTACAAACAAGCCCGTACGAGGTGTGGGCACTGCGCGTGCGCAGGAACCAGATTCGCGTCGAGTGGACCGTCTGCGCATGCGCCTTGCCAATAGCAGCTCCACCACAGCGGTGATGTCAACGCCGCTTGCACACAAAATACAGTCTCCATACAGATTCGAACGGAAGTCACCGCGAGATTCGTGCTTCAAATGCCGCGTTGTAATGAGTTCAACGAGAAACTTGGCACGCGGCATTCAAACCACAGATATTCCGGTTAATCGTGTTTGAAGACTGTCTTTTGTATAGTCTATGAGCAATGGGACCCCGGCTTAAGAAAACTCCGTGCGTGTCTGTTTTCTCGCGGAAACGCTCGCGGAGAGCGATAAACTGCAAGGTACACGGAGCGCATCCAGCAAAATAACGAGGCCTCGAAAGACGGCTTGAAAACTCAAGTCTGTGCACTTGCAATGAGCACGTCGTTCCGCTTGCTAATTGTTCCATGCAAAGCAGATTACATCCCGAGGTGTTTTTCTCGCGCGTTGTTATTCACTGTACGCGCTCGGTAAACGCCAGCAATTAGCTCCCGGTGGGCATCTGAAAGTGTGTATACTAGCCACCGAGAACCTAAGAAGCGCAGGGCGTGGCTTTTTATGCTCACAGTTTTCTCTTCGTGATTCGTTTTCTGCTTCCCTATGGGGCAATGCCGCTATCGTATGCGGAGCGCAAGTTTGTCTGCTTCTTGCGCGGGGGTTGCAATGATGTCAGAACAAAGAGCTCTCATTGGCTGATTGAAGGAATTAGTGGGTAGACCTCGAGGCCACTAGCATTGAGGTCTACCCACTATCCCTCCATCAGAGCCAATTAGAGCACGGCGTCGTTCTGACGTCACCGCAACTCCTGCGCAAGAAGCAGACGAGCCCGTGTCTTTTGTATGATGTACGAGCAGGGTGACTGTGGCTTTAAGCTGTCGGGGATATATATACAGCGTGAATATTTCTTTTGGTTCAGCTCGAAAACTGCCGGTGTCTGAAGCTCGTCGAAGATGGCGAGTTTTTCTCCGGGTCGGTGTTCAGCGGTTTTTGCAAGAGCACCTGCGTCATGTTTGTGCAATACGTCATCATCGTCTCCTTGGCGCAGTTCGTTGGAGCGTCGGCATCCGTCGGTAACACACTCATCATGCTCAGGTAGGGTGCTCGAAACTGTTCCGGATTACGGAATCTTGCGTCTGTCTCTGTACACATGATTCTAGGACAGCTCGAGCATGGGGAGGTGGAACGTGTCTCCGACTGGTGCGTTTAGTCTTTATAGACCTATTGCTAAGCTACCCAAGCGTTAAGGAGAATGCAGAGATTGGTGTTTCACGCGCCACGCGTGCTGGCCTCAGCAGTATATAGTAACTTTCTGCAAAGCAAATGCCTAAAACAAATTCCATCTTGCAAGCGCGTTCGTCAACGATTTATTTTCGCTATTTACTTGGAATCTTTTATACGAGAAAGGCGTGCACGTGTGGCGCGTGGAACACCAATCCCTGCATTCTCCTTGATGTTTGGGAAATTTATCAATAGGTCTATTGGCCGGTTCACACGTGCGTCTCGGCGCTGAAAGAACCAAATGTCTGCTCTTGGTCTCTATGGCGTCGACTTAGCGCTGCGGTGTACACTCTTAGAAATAGCGGGTGTATAGGGGTACACCACGTGTCCCATATGTAACACCCCAAAACTACATTTGGACGTCCAGTCCACTGACGTCGAGTGGCGATACCAACTTCTAAAAGCGGCTTGTTAGCTGTGGGATATAACGTACTAAATACCTAATGTGCGTATCAAAGACAAGAAGAAAGAAAACACTTAGGTTCTGCAGCAGGACAAAAAGAAAACATTGGTACTGTATCCTTTAATGCGTACTTTAGCTAATTTAATACGTTGTATCGATCGACTATCAAGCCGCTCGTGAAAGTTGGTATCGCGGTTCGACGTCTGGGGACTGCACGTCGAATTGTTGTTTCGGGGTGTTACATGTGGGACAAGGGATGTATTCCTATACACCCCCTATTTCTTAGAGTTTATGTGTGAACAGGCTTTATCTTGACGCCTCTCAATTCCCGACTGATGTCGTCACATCCGCCGGGGAAGAACGGGGAGAGTGTGTGACAGCGCCACCTCCCCATGGAACAAGAATGTCGAAGTTTCGCTCGCATTTGGCCACCATTGTAAATGGGAAACAAAGATGTTGTTGTTATTATTAATATTATTATTATTATTATTATTAAAATTATTTCTGGTAATCGCCGTGAGATGGCGCAACACATGTTAGGGTGGTAGGAGGCCTGCCAGAGCAACTCGATGAGCCGTCTTTATTCGCGCATGTTTTCAGGGCCGCGACAGCGCCGCATGACACGCGACCGCGAATGCGCGAAGGCCTCTAAACCGACAGTGCCCGAGTAAGCTTGTGATGCCCTGTCGGACCTTGTTCAAACACATATCTCTCTTCTTCTGCCGTGGTCACAACCCCGCAATGCTGCGGATCGCCGCCGAGATCGTGCCAGTGGAACGGCACCGGAGATGACTCACGAGAGACGCGTTTTATGCTGTAGTTCGTTTTGCGGCTGACTCAATAAACGAAGGCCACACTTTTAGGCCGCCGCCATGACAGTGACGCCTGCGTCCGCTCGTCACTTTTGCTGCGCTCTCACAATTGACCGCGAGGGTTGCGACAACTTGCGGGCATTGCACGACGGCTCCCTTGTCTTTCCCGATTCTGCAGTGTCTTCTGCTCGTAGGATAGAAGAACGCGGTCGCTAAAAACATGTCATAAAGCCTTCATCTAATGTTGTATTGTCTCTGAAAGCCTAAGAATCGCTGGGGGCGTGGCTTATTATGTTCCCTCTTCGTCATTGGTCGTCTGGCGTTCGTTTCGGCTTATGCTGCGATCTTATTGGCTGCCGAACGATAATGAGATGCTCGAGACTCGCCCTGCTTCTTTTATTTTTTGCGTTGATAGTGGTTATAGCCAACACCACCAAGACAGAAGGCCTCCACACGCGTCATCATAGTCAGATCGATCGAGGCGAGGGATTGGGCACGAGTGCTGCGTCAGTGTTCGGCTGCGGCTCGTGGCCAATCAGCGCGTCGAAGGTTGGACTCGGGTCCAATAGCCGACCGAGCGCGATCCGACTGTGATGATGTTTCATAGAAGAAGAGGAAACCATGCGGAGGCCTTCTGTCTAGGTGGTGTTGTTATAGCACGCTAGCAATATCTCTCGCTTCAAAAAACGCAACAAATAACAACAATGCCGCCCCGCCAAAAACCTGGTAGCGTTTTTTTTTTTTTTTTTCAGTTGATAGCCAATTGGATATTTTTTTTCTACAATAATAAAACCTACGCAATAGCAAAGAACATAGAAAGCTTGTCTTCATAGAATATTAATTATAAAAAAAGAAACAGCACTGCCGTGATTTCTTGACAAACGATCATGTCATTTGTTTAAACTAAAGAATATTATGCCAATTTTGCGCGCCTTGTGTTCCCTGCGAACACCAAGCATATTTTTTACTTCATCTCCTTGTTTTCAGGAGTGTCAGTCCTTCTGATAAAAGCATGGCGCTTGGATTTGCCAATGCCATGGCAAATTTACTGGGTAAGCTGGCATATATTTATCAATAAAAATCTTATGTTCGTGAAAGCCAAAAAAAAAAAGGGAACTGTGCGACATTCAATATGTGGCCATGACTATAATGGATATGCATGTTTTAATAGGCCAGTCTTTCAAATGTTCTCATAAAGTCACGAGTCAACATAATGTTTGTAGGGTGGGGATACCAAAAGTAAATGTTAGTGGTGCGAAACAAAAAGAGGAACAAGAAAACTGCAACATTAAAAAATAACTCACTTTTACTGCAACCATGGGCAGTTTTACTGCCCGTTAATCTAGTTCCCTGCAAGCTGTCTGTACTGCCAGGACTCCGAGCATAACGATTTCACCACGATGTAGTCGGAGCACCAATCATCGGTCTTCATTTTATCATCTTAGCCAATAGAGACGAGTCTATGGTATCGCGCCCCAACTGTCGCACGCAGTCTCCGTAGTCAAAGGCGCCGCCATTTTGTTGAGTGGTCAAACGTTCCAGAATTATAGTTCTTTTCAGCACTGACTTCCAACGGGCATCCGATCCTTGTGCCGCTAAAGCTCCGTTGCTATTGAAGCCCATTATGTCGATTGTTCCTTGATAAGCTGATTGCAAGAATACCAATGATGTATTCCATCGCTGGGCTGTCCGATACATCAGAGACGTCTGTAACGACGGGCTTAACTCTATTGCCTTCTCTTCGTTCAGCATACATCCCGTTCCCGCTGCTCTACGGGGCCGCCATGGACGGGTCATGTCTAGTCTGGGAGAGCAAGTGCGAAACGCGTGGCAACTGCTGGCTGTACGACTTGGACAAGCTGCGCTACTCCTACTTCGGAACTTCCATCACGTTCCTATCTCTGGCCGTTGTGTTCGCCACGGGCGTTGCCTGCGTGGCATCGGACATTAGGGACTTTTACGACGACGGTTACCAGGAGGTTTATTCGTCCGAAGACCCAAAGATCCGTTACAAGAAGCGCGACCCCGTTAGGATCTTCGAGGAGCACGACCAAGGGCGGTTTAAGGTGTGACTACGTCGGCCTTTTTAGCGTTAAACAGAGTTTCGTGTTTTCTGTAAATACCGCAAAACCGCGGAAACCCCCGAGCCGGTTCTGTGAAAATCGTAGAAAACTGAACGATCCCCGAATCAGAGCTGCCCTCGAATAAAAAGAGCCCAAGCTTCGCGGGAAAACGTATTTTACATCTCTATCTTGCGTTGACCTGGAACAATAAACTGTCATGAACTGTCCACGAGGTTTCTTCATGCTTCTAAACTCCACCCTCGTTTCTTTTTTATTTGTTTTTTTTTTATTATGGGGATATTTATTTTAAGAATTCGGGTCACGCGCTTGTTCCCGTGAGGTTAGGGAGTCGCGATCCCGACTCCTGATTTCTTTTACATAAACACCAATAAACGCCAAATTTAGTCAGACACCAAACATTTAAACCGAAAGATTCAGAATAAGCGGAAGAAAGTGAACTAAAAGAATACCCTCGATTTGAAAAAAAAAAAAATAATAATAATAATAATAATGAACCCCAAAAACACGGAACTCCAGTTACACAGTAGTCTTTCGAACGTTCCTCCGATTGGCCTGTCTAGCATCATACTTACCTCCCATGCGTCGTCTATTGCCCCGGAACAGAAGACAACTTCCCAAGAGCCCTCAGGTAACGCGCTACGGGTTCCTTAATTCTTGCGGTTGGTTCGAAGCGTCGGCTAAGAATATGAGTAAACACAGACGTCACTGTGTTCGCGGCTCTATACTTTGTTTCAGCTAAGTCCAGACGAAACCGATGCTACAAGCGCGTGCATATGGTCCTGAACAGTGCTTGCAGTGCGCGAGCGTGAATTGGACGCTGAACGCCCAGAGCTCCAGTTTGTAGCATCGGCTGCGTCTGGACGTCAGCTGAAACGAAGTATGTCAACTGGCCGAATACAGAGCGGGCTGCAGCAGAACAAACACCTTGCAGTATCCGCTTCTGCTGCTGTGCACCACTGCCAGGATCACGGCAACCCGCATCATAGACCTTATGAAAAAATAAGCGCCATTTATTGTATTTACTATAATTTGTCAAGTTTCCACCATTTTGAAGGGTTTATATATACCGATAGTTTCGCCAGAAAGAAATTGGTCGCGGCAAAGTGAGAGTCGTGGACCTAAAATATGATTGCGTAACACGGCAAGGTCCAGTGCCAACCCTTTACAAAGCCTTTCCATTACGACCATTCACTTACTTGGATGGCCATATCATTCCTTCGGTGACGTCTTAACTCTTGAGAGCTCGTTGCTGACAATTCATCTTCCACAGACTCACGGCAGTCTTTCTTTTTTTCTCGACGCTGGTGCAACGGTTGTGTGGGTCGGAAAAAAAATAGGTGCGGCCCTCTGGGCAAGCCCTTCTCACCACTATCCACGACTTGATAATCTAGATTCGGAACTGAAGTTCAGACCGCCCAGAAACCTTACAAAAAAGACTGAATCAGTACTTCACCGAATCAGGCTGGGCGTTGCATTTACATATAAATATCTCCACTGTATTGGGAAAAGACCTTCTGCAAACTGCTTGATATGTGAAGAAGTAGAGTCACTGGACCACCTGTTATGCACTTGCTCAATTTATGACGTGGAAAGAGAGGTGATTACTGAAGAACTTTCCCAGCTGGACTCCCGACCGTTCTCTCTCCAGAAGATCTTAGGAGCACGGGAGAGTCCAGAAAAGCTGGCTGATGCGACCAAATACCTACTACGTTTCTTACGTGATACCCTACTTATTTGTCGTCCTTAAGGAGCAGATATGGAGCTCCACGTTATTTTAATGTGTTTTTATTAATTTCCCCTTCTTGCCCTTCTTTGGCATCCCCTATTCCCCTTCCCCAGCACAGAGAACCCGGTTAATGCAAACTGCATGGAACGACCTCTCTGTCTTTCTAAATAAACCTCCTCTTCTCCTTCTTTTTTTCGTTGCACCGAATCCAATCCGAATCCCATTGAATGTACAAATACATTGGACTAACCTGCAAACTAAGTGGATACCGTATGCGCCTAGTCAACAGATGGAAGATGGAAAAATCCCTCCGGAATGGCGGCTCCCAGAGGAATGATGATGATAGCTTGCGGGAATTTCGCATATGGCCTATTACACAGGTGAATGCTACCAGGCAGACAATGAATAAACAAAATAAAGAAGCTGTAAAAGAATTTTAAAAAATAGTCGGAGATGCGTTCCAGACACCATCTTATAGCTATTTCCACCATTACTCTCGTAATTTGGGGCTCGTTACCTGGTGATCAGGCGTGTCAGTCGCCATATTTGGTTTTGACGTAGGGCCTGCTCGATTTATTGATATGTTTGACGTAAACCCAGGAAGAGGAGTAAAGACCAAAAGCCCAATACAGTAATGATTTATTCCCTCGAACCATACTCAGAGCCTGAAGAGGATTATCATCGCCACCCAAACTTTTCGTGGATACAAATAAATCCGTATTTTTCATGTTTGCACCTGGTCTTCCAGCCGGGCCTGAAAGCAAAATAAATTATCGTGTTATCTCTTCGACATCCAGTTGTACCGTGCCAATACAGCACTTGCAGTCATAACGCCCTGACCAAATTGCTCACCATAAAACAAAAAAAAAACATACGGATATCATGCTCTCTAAACATTTAACATTCAATTTAATCGCTTGCTTTTTATCTCGCATTAATACTGATAAAAAAAGCGCAACGTCACTAAGGACAGAAAAGACGAGAGTTTACTCGACAAAATATCCATGCTTAAAAAACCAATCACTGCGGATTTACGAATGGAGGTCGGCGAATGGCAGGACTGAGAAAACGGTTTCGTCCTAACAACGAAACTGAGATATGACACTTGCTAAGTTACTATGATATGATCATGCGAAACATCGTCGCAGCGTAGACTTTAATTATTTTCTCAGCGAAACATTTTCTCTGGAGTCACTGGATTGGTTTCCAGTGTGTACAATTATTTTTTCTTCTTTGTCAACAATCTTGTTGTTTATCTCTTGTTGCGGTTGGCAACCCAGTCACCATTTTGAGTCCTAGAAATTCGTACCCACTTTGAGTTAGTCAAACCTAGATCGCAGTGACGCGTCATCGCACTGAAAGCTATTTATTGATATTAATTTTTTTTCTTTCGTTCTTTATATATGAATATGTAATCAACCACTGAAGAATGGTGGAAACTTGGGCGAGTTGGGTATGTACTTTCAAAAAAATTTAAATGACGAGGGAGATTGCAGAGGCATGCCTCATATGACTGTGCAAGAATGACATGTGTGTTGTGTGGCATCGATAGCGCTCTACGACAAGGAACTTGCATTCTTAGGTGCTTATGAAAGAATGCATAGTCAATGACTTGCTAAAGGGTCTTTGTCGTAGTTTCTCACTTCGATGTGTGTGATTTTTTTTTAAATAAAACCAGTTGAAAGTCAGCGTTCTGTTCGTTTACGTCTTGGTTGGTCCTTCGCCTTGTTTGCGCAGTTTTAGTTCAATAGAAAACAAAAAAACAACGAACCTTTTTGTCTGACAATCTTCAAAAAGGTAATAGTTCGTTTCTTTGTTTTTATTTCAAACATTACTTTTTAGTACCGCCACCACCGCCAAAAAATTCAGCTCGGCGAGTGGCGTCATCTAGAATGAAGTGCCGACCCGTCTGGTGCCTAGTTTCTTTTTTTTTTTTTTTTTTTTGCAATATTTTGTAGCCGAAAAAAAATACTTGCTTTGTAAGTTCTGCTGTTAGAGATTAATGAAAAATGGTGGCGCTTGGATGCAGTCATCAACCGCTGATGTAAGATAATGTCGGTGTACGAGACATGTTTTTGTAAAGGAACCTCTTACTGCGCATTTCGATTGGCTCATTCAGAGTGGAGTGGGCAAGAACAGAATCATCTAGCAAATGGACCCAAGATTACAGTGAACCGCCCCGCTCCCCCTCCCCCCCCCCCCCCCCAAAAAAAAAAAAGAAAAAAAAAGTTTTGGTGTTTTGAAAATTTATTAAGTGACTCTGGTTCTCTCGATAAAAATCGCAATGATTTAGTCTCTAAGTGTTGTGTAACTTAAAGAACAGTTGTGCGGTTGATTCCCCAATCGCTCCCTTTACCAATGTTCCGCTCTGTTCACCCCGCACAACTGCTGTCTATTTATCAGCCTGCCAGGCAGAGAGCTGGCGCGCAGGCATGCAGTTTGGGAGTGCGCATGAAAGACGCGTGTTTCGTGAACCTGCGGTCGATTATATGAAGAACATCGAGCGCTACACTTTAGCCAAGAAAAGGGCCAGGTAGAGTGGCATCACTGTACATACGAAATAAGCTCCTACCACACGTCGAAGCCACGTTCAACTTGAATCTTCTTGGCACACTCGATAGACGGGCCGACGTCGTCAGATGCCAGCGCTGCGTAAGTACAAGAAGATGAGGACAAATCTTGGGTACCCTATGTCACGTTTAAAAAAAAACGCGATGAATTTAACGTACACGAACAGGTGACGTTGCAGCCGCTGAAGCCTCCAGGACCGCATCCCCACTTGTCATTAATCTGTAGAACAATGGTAAACCTCACTTCTATCAAATCAAAACGAAAAAAGAGAAGAAAATCAAAACGAAATAGACGAGAGAGAAAGTAAGAACAAAAAGTAAGAACGTAGAAGATCCGATAGCCACCACCGTTATTTTGAAACCAAGAACGTTGAAACAGGCAAAAATCAGAAGGCATATGAGACGCGCCTACCGTTCTTATTGGCGACAAATTGTTATTCACCGAAAAAAAACCACCAGACGAGGTTTATGACTCACTTGAAAAATTCCGTAGCCGATGCCTCCATCTCTGTTCCGCCGTCTGATCGCCAGCGAGTTCATGCCGCTTTCCGCTTTAGCCATGCAAATCCCTTCGAAAATAATAGAACGGACACGTGTTTGTTCATTGCATGATTCGAGCACGCTAGTTCACTTCACGATATGAAATGGGACCATGAACTGCGTACACTGATAATGGTATCACATGAGCATGTCCCCACAAAGGATGATGAACATGTAGGTGCATTTCCGCGGGGTGCAGTTTTACCGATAACGCTTCATTCGTACTGGCGGTTGCACCACCTTCGGGAAGCATTTGATGACGAAAACGAGCAGATTTTTTTTCATGCCCGTGCGCCCACATACCCGCCGAGCCCCATGCTCGCCGGACAAGATCGCCGGCGAACGGTGACGCGGAAGAAACGGTTTCATC